CCCCAAAACCCCAAAACCCCTAGAGTAGAATTTATTAGATCATTAATATTAATTACAAATCAGTAAAAACTAAATTTATATAGAATTTCTAAAAAAAATTAGCCAAACTAAGATAATATTAAAATTAGTTTCTGAGAATGTTTTGATCTTAGTAGATCACATATTACTGGGTTCTTTTCCCATTAATTTTTCATTGAATTTGTGATGCTTATCATCTCTAGTGTCTAGTAGCGGATTACGTTTCACAATAACCAGTGGCTTTTTGGAAAGCATACGAGCACGCTATCTCTCAAGCAACTTTATTTTCCTTGTTAGAACTTCTTAGAGCATCTTAACTCTATTTTCTAGGAAGTAAAATCGTTTCTCAGACTCATTGGTTTTTATCTGGATCGTTGATATCTTATTTGATATAGCTTCTAGGTCAATAGTATTAATGAGTTTCTCAATCAAATTCATGATTGAATGGTAACTCTCCAGGCATTTTATGCCTTGTGAATAGTGTTAGCGGATGATTTCATTGGCGTCCTCACCCTACTAGTCGATTGAAGTCTTGAATAGCTAGCTATACTCCACAATTAATAGTCTTGTATTCTTAATTGAGCTTAAGCAAGATTATATATGCTAAGAAAGCTTCTAGATATCATTTTCAAGCAATGGATCATTTTAGGGATTGTAGGGTTCTAATTAAAACTCAATATTCTTCATTATAAAGCTAGTGATAGTATTGGTAGACTCTGGCCTATTATCTATTGTATCCTAAGTCATCTGTATATCAGCGTGGTTATTCATTCTGCTTTGAGGAGCGTTAGTGTCTTGTGTTAAGTTATAGTTTGAGCCTACCAAGTTGTTTAAATCGACAGTTCCATGTTGAGTTGTGGGGATTGACGATCTATTTCGAGAGTGGTTGACAACTGGCTAAATATTCAGCAATTCTGGTTGTAATTCAATTATGCTTCTTTTTGGGCTTCTGCCATTGTTAGATCTCATTACAGGCCTATCCTTCTAAGTAGCTTGTCTCTTAAACCTTTAGTGATCTGTTGATTTTTATAGCTTAATAAGTGAAGAACGCAACTAGGTATTGAATTCCTCCTATTATGATACTCTATTTGAATCATAGCCAAATTCCTCCACATTTTCAATGTCATCTAGTTGCTTCAGTTAATTTTCCATCCTAATTTGGGCTTTAGTTTCATGGAAACGCTCTTCCACCTTATTTCGGTCTATCTCTTCTTTTGATAAGGACTCTCTGATGTTATTTTTTATATTCTCGATCTTAATCAGATGCATGTTTAGCTTTGATTGTGAGTTGCCATGCAATGTTCTTTGATTGACAAGTAGCTTATTATAGTTAAAGTCTGGAGATCCATTGGACTCCTTCACATATTTTTCAATAATTGGACTCTATGTTTAAATCTTGGCAAAGCTTGGTACATTCAATTAGCCAGACTAGTTGACGCCTTAACTGTTTTTGGGACTTGAAGCAAATACTCCGGCTACTCTATTTATATCAATCCCACTATCTAATGACTCTTAATTTCCAAAAGTGTTGAATTGCTAGGAGTTATCCCTTCCTATTCTAGCAGGTTTACCTTTTAATGAGTCTATATGTAGGTTATTCCTAGCGGAGAATCTATTAGAGAGTATGTTTTCTTGAATGCTCATTTACTTTGCTAATGTTTGCTATGAGTCTAAACCTCCATTCTATCTGCTTCCTCTGCTTCGATTAGAATTCAGCCTCTCTAGACCTTTAGTAGCTATTTTTTCCATTTCATCAAAATTAATCTTTGATATAAGTCTATGCAGTCCAATCTTTGGATCTTCTTGTTTAAATTTATTGACTTAAAGATCCTCTATGCGCTTTTTTTCTCTCTCTACAACTATTTTTTCAATTTCATCTCTTATGTCATCAAATTCATCAAGAATTTATTCAAATATAACTGCCTCCAATTTAAGTATATAGCAATCACTCTTTGCAATAAATGATTCGGATCTATTACGTCTTAAGATAATATCTGTTTCCCCAAAGATTGTTCCTTCTAGATAATACCTCTCATCTTTATGATATTAATCCTATCTATCTCAAAGTACACACCCTTTCAGTAAAAAGAAGACTTCTTGGGGCTAGGTTCCTTCTTTAGCAAAAACTGTGCCATTTTTTATTCTCATTGGTTCAAATTTAGACAAATAATCTCCATAAAATCTTTAATCCTTGTCTTATAGAATTTTTATTGTCTCAATTGCATCTCTGTATAAGAAGTATGATATCTCAGATTTGAGATGAGCAGGCAAGATCTCTAGCAATTCATCAATTTAATATTCTTTACTCAAAGATATCAGATTTGAGTTCCTAAAAAATTTATCAAATGAGGAAATCTTATAGATACTTACTATTGGAAGAAATATTGAATTTTGTTTAGAAGGTCTTGTGAAAATCTATGCTTGAGAGATAACTCATGAATGATCTCATCTCTTGTCTAAAATTAAAATTTTAAATTTTATCTTGTAGATTGAAAAAAATACCTTAGTGTTGCCATCACTAGAATTTACACTACTGAAAAGTGTAGAAAGCTTAGAGAACATATAAGCATAAAGGGAAACTCCAGTAAATAGGATAAGTACACATGCCATCATTTCCATCTCGTTCATTGGTGTAATATCACCATAACCGACTGTATATATTGTAACAGCAGCCCAATAGACTGAAGCGATATATTAGTCCATATTTTCCTTATCTCCAATCTCGTATTGTACAGTCCAAGTATAAGGATATGCCCCATCAGTCAGAGATGCAACTGTAGCCCACAAACATCCAATTAAATGCAGCAAGAAAATCATCATTATTAGGGAATTGATCATTCTAAATTCGTAATATGTTAACAATAATTATTTTACCTATTAGCTGTGACACTAATATTCACAGCTGCAAACAGTTTCTCAACAAACTTGTTAGATTTGTACAATCTCATAAGCTTTATAAGTCTTAGCAATCTATATAATCTAGGTAGTCTACTAAGCTTGAGAAGTTTAATGTTGTCTACTGAGTCACTAGAGGAATATTTTTGGATCAATGTGATGGGTATTGATGAAAGTAAATCTATGAAAAACCAAGTCCTTATGTAATTCTTAACAATTCTCCTTCTTTCAACTATGAGTTCTCCGTTCTCATCCTCATAAGCAGTAAAGAAGTTCAAGAATACATCAAACAGAAAAATTGAGTCTATGCAAATATCTAATATTATCCATTCATCAGGAGTTTAATCTTCAAATGGGATTCTGTATGGTACAGTGATTGCCAAAAAACAAATAAGGAACAACCCAATGACATTCCAAATAGTCTTCCACAATGCAGTTGGATTTATAACACATTTTGGCATTTTTTTCTTAAGTATCTACTCATCGAGAAGACTAAAATTCATTAATTTACTTCTGTTTTCCTCAATATTAGAACCGTCCTAGTTACCCTCAGAAACAAATGTATGATTAGCAGATTTAATATCTCCCTTATTATCGCCCTAAAAGCTTGAATCAATTTTTACCTATGTACCATCTAAATTCTCTTTATCCATCTTTGAGCCAGAACCATCTACTCTCCTAGCATTATCCTTATTAATTTTGTTCCTTTCTGATTACTCATTGTCTAATGTATTTAAATCACTTTGAAGCAGTTTCCTTGGTGTTTGTTTATTAGTCCCGCTGCTGTCACTAGAGTGATAAGTTTCATTACGCTTTCTTTTCTCTACTTCATTGAAAAATTTAATACCCTTCAGTATTCTTCCACCAGATTATAACTGACTCGGAGGACTTGACTAGGAATTTTAGCTTATTCCCTCTTTGATATTTTGCTTTTCAATCAATTCTTTGAGGAAACTATTTGGACCAATTATATTGCCGCGTCTTCCTTTTATATTTTCAAATCTCTTTTTTTCTTTATGTTTTTTCCCTCCTGCTCCGTCAGAAGAAGACGAAGAGGAGGAACTGTATTCCATTTTACTTAAATTCTTTAAATTCGTAAGAAATCCTGATCGATGTGGTTCGATTCCAGAAGTATGCTAATTAACGTCTAGGACTGACGACTTTTTCTCTTAGTTCAATTCTCTACCCTTTTTCTAGTTTATTTCCTTTCTTTTCAGTTCCTAAGTATAGGATTAAGAATCATATATAATGAATGAAATTATAGATTAGAATTATAGCATTGAATGAACTAATAGTTCTATTGAGTAGGATAGACTTACAATTTACTTAATCAATGCGGCATGATCAACTTCCTATTTCTTCGGCTTATTTAGACTTTAAAGCTGATGGCTGTCACTCGACTATAATTTCATGAGTATTTTCCTTCCTTATGGGATCAGGTTATTATTATTTTAATTCATCAGCACTGTTTTCTTCAATTGAGCTCCGATATTTTCTGACATGCGCTTCATAGTGGTGGATCGCTAAAAAATAGGTCTTAGTAGCTTTGCACTTCCATCATCTCCTTCGCGTTTTGTGAGTTGACGACTAGGTATTCGGCTACTATTTGGAGTACCAAATGTACTAATCTTATTCTTATTTATTGATTTTTAAGAAGTATCAATTGGCTTCATTATTTAATTAATATAATTATCTCAATATTTTTTCATTCTTCTAGTCATAAATTAATTCAGTTTTACTAAAATTACCAAGTTTTTGCATGATGGGGTTTTGGGGTTTTGGGG